CACATGCGCAGAACGCATACAGCACCTGCACGATCCTCCAGGAGCAGCTGGAGCATCGCACAGGCACTAGTATGCATGCGTGCACTGCGAGAAACCCACCTCTGGATTGAAGTCACGTATTATTATAAGTTATACATTTATGTTCCTCCTTACAGAATTTTCAAGATGGCCCAGAGCAAAAAGGAAAAAAACCTGCAATAATAAACATTATGTTTAGCACTAATACGAGCAAAATAGTCAAAGCTGCATGATGATATTCAATTCCGTATGGCTGCCAGGAAAATGACATGGGTTGTGCCTATGTGGTCACCAGATACTGTGCTTGACTAGATGGAGTATATAAAACCTTGTGGTCAAAATGGGGACGATGTCAGGACTATCAAAGCTCCATTTCTTTTTGTGTGTCCCAAACAAAAAAATCAGGCAATCACACCATTATAGCCGACACGTGGACTTCTTTTAAGCCATGTCTATGGCTGTCCATGGCTAGAAGGGATCTCACTCCAGGTCTTCACCTTGTGGTGAAAACCAGTGAACACTCTAGATGGGATGTGCCTCTTGTTCCAATCACTATTCACTTCCCATTTGCTCATGCTCATGCACGTGCACACACAAACACAAACACACACTCCTGGTAAAAGAAGTAGCCTGCAACTCCTCGCACCCTTGCCTACAATTTGGAAATCTATTGTACATTGCAAGATGAGGATCAGAAGCCATTTGCTTGTTTCCTTGCTTGCTTTCTTCCTGTCCCAAATCAGGATGAGTAGGATATGCAACTCAAGATTTGGATCTGTTCACTTACTTAGTTCAGTTTAGATCAGTGTTTCTCAACCTTGGTAACTTGAAGATGTCCGGACTTCAACTCCCAGAATTCCCCAGCCAGCGAATGCGGACATCTTCAAGTTGCCAAGGTTGAGAAACACTGGTTTAGATTATTGCTGATTGATTAATCAAATGGTCATCTTAAAACACATTGCAACGTATCATTTGTCTGTTTATCTATTTACTTTTGTTCCATTTTCTCCCCCCCCCCCCCCAGGTGTTATTCTTTACATCTTACTCGTGGGATATCCTCCTTTTTGGGATGAGGATCAGCACAAGCTGTACCAACAGATTAAGGCTGGTGCCTACGATGTGAGCAGTGGTTTCTTTTTCTTGTGTTCCCTCTGTCTTACAATCTGTGAAGTTTCACTGACCGAAGAAAAAAGTTTTAGAAGTTGCATTTCTTAAAATCATGTATTCGGCTAATTGTAAGCTCCTTAGCAGGAGCTTAAGTCTCCTTGAGACTATGAGAATGCTGTGTTTCCAAAGGGCATTTGTTTCTCTCTTCAATCGATAGCTGTCAAGATAGATAGCTTGGCTTTACATATCACTGTAAGCCCTAATATGCTGTATTGCTTTCAACTAATTATTTATGAAATAAAGAAATCATGATTTACAGCAGGTGTGTGCCCAGCCTTTCGGCTTGCCTGGGTCGCACTGAATGAAGAGGAATTGTCTTGGGCCTTGTATAAAATATATAATATAGTAACTACTACAACAACAATAACAATATAACTATCTTTAAAAAAACCACATCATAATGTTAAAAGTTTACGATCTTGTGACCAGCTGTCCAGGGCCATAGGCGAGCTATGGGTTGGCCATGCCTGATTTAGAATAATATGTCCATTAAAACAATATTGCCAAATATAATAACAATGATTCAAATGGAATAAATCATATACATCAGTGGTGGGTTTCAAAAATTGTTCAAACCTACTCTGTGGGTGTGGCCTCCTTTGTAGGAGTGGCTTGCCGCCCATGTGACTGGATGGGAGTGGCTTGCAGCCCATGTGACCAGATATGAAGATGCCGACGACACTTGTCAGAACCACCTTAAGTTACCTCACACACAGCACTGGCATGCATAAGAATATGATGTAAACTTGTTTTTTAAAAGGCATCTTTGGTTTGCGTTAAAACAACTTCAACACACGCAATGTTCTGATTGCACCACAAACACAGTAGTCATCCTCACCTTTCACAGAGGCACTGAGTTTTATAAATATGAGCATGATACTGTAGAATAATCATATCCAAGGACCAGTGGTGGGTTTCAAATAAATTTGGAACCTCTTCTGTAGGTGTGGCCTGCTTTCCGGGTCCACTGGTGGAACCTCTTCTAACCGGTTCGGTAGATTTGACGAACCGGTTCTACCGAATAGGTGCGAACTGGTAGGAACCCACCTCTGATATACATTCTTTTTAAAAAATGTCTGTAACTGATACCTCATATTGAGATTTAACAGCAATTTGTGGATGAAATTTTGATCCATGCCTCAGATTTCTGTTGTGTCTTCGTGTTACTCTAGCATTTTTATTAGAAATACCAACTTAATTGGTCAGGGAAGACCCTCTTCTTTTAATATTAAATTTGATTTCCTGCAATATCTCCTTCCCTTAGTTTCCTTCCCCTGAATGGGACACAGTCACTCCTGAAGCAAAAAACCTCATAAATCAAATGTTAACCATCAACCCTGCAAAGAGAATCACAGCACACGAAGCTCTGAAACATCCATGGGTCTGCGTAAGTATGATGGCACTTTCCTTCCTGCTTAGATTCAACCTATCTGCTCAAAACATTGTTAAAGGAATCCCAAGTTTCCTTGTTTAGTGCCCTTAAGAGATTATAATAGTTACACCTATTCTAAGATAGGATATTAGCAAAATAATGCTAAGGATGTATAAGCTCCCCAAAAGCTTTTATGAGAGTACCTCTACTGAGTAGATGTTTTAAATCAGTGGTCTCCAACCTTGGCAACTTTAAGACTTGTGGACTTCAACTCCCAGAGTTCCTCAGCTGGCTGAGGAACTCTGGAAGTTGAAGTCCACAGGTCTTAAAGTTGCCAAGGTTGGAGACCACTGTTTTAAATGACCTCATTTATATAACTTCACTATTTTGAGTATTCTGTGGCAAGCCTGACTAAAAGAGTTTGGATGATCCAAGAAGGAGCCACTGAGAAGAGGCTAGATGGGGAGGATCCAGGGAGGATCCATTGAGCCACAAGGAGGCCAATTACTGGTCTCCCCATACAGTTTGTTTGGGCTAACCTTATTGTTAGTGATTCCAATGTTCCTCTCCAAAAAGCTGACCTACATATGCTGCTATTGGGGGGTCTACAGAACAATGGGTTGCATGGTGCTGGGGAAACTGCCTGGGTAGGCAGATGCTACAACCACCTTTCCATGGACTGCTTCAAGGACATCCTTCACAGTGCACTCAATACGACTAACTGGTCCCTAAGCTGTTTTAAGAACCTGCGTGTATTAGATACACCGAAGCCTGTCTCTGTTTCCCAACAAACTCAACTCACCTTGCCTTTTTGTTGATTCCCCCCCCCCTTTTTTTTCTCCCCCTGCATGCACTTTTTTAATGCCAGGCCCAAACACTTTAGATTTTAGCTCTTGGCTTCCCTATCATACTCTCATGCCTTGTAATGTTCTTTTTCCCCCCAGCAACGTTCAACAGTGGCTTCAATGATGCACAGGCAGGAGACCGTAGAGTGTCTGAAGAAGTTCAATGCAAGAAGGAAGCTCAAGGTAAGCGATTTAAGGAGATATGAAGGTGGAAATGCACGAGGACCTTCAGTGCCGAATCTCTCTTAGCGGGTCCTGTAAGTGGGATAGTTTTGTTGACTCTGCCCTTAGTAATATAAATCAACATCCTTAGCCTCTTTCCTTCATCATATAAAGATGACTTTTCTTGACCATCTATCATGTTTTGAACAGATTGAACTTCTTTTACGTCAGCTTTCAACTTTTCCTCTTCATAATCTCTGCCATCATCTTCCTATCTTTTTAACCTTCTCAATCATTTTATCTGTAATCGCAGGTTTCAATTCTGGCCTTCCATGTTTTGTTCAATTTAGATTTTGCCTCTTACAAGTTGACTGAATTGTCTGTACAATTTATGTTGACTCTTCCTGCCTCTTCATTGTCTTTCCCTGTTCCAATGTTTGTTTCTCCATTGTCTTCGTGGTGATCATTTTTCACTTTCTCAACTTCTCTACTCTTTTGGTTTTTGCGATTCTTCACCTTTGGGGCTGCTATTCTTAAGATCTACAAATATCTGTTGTGAACTCCATCTGACGTCAGGAAGGGCATCCAGCCAGTAAATGTTCAGCTCTATTCAGTTGCTCCAACTCTACCCTGAATTAAGGGATTACAGGTTCATAAAAGGGAGTTTTCTTAAGATTTGTCGTACCCAATCATATTTCCATGTTCGCCATATCCGTACATCTAATTGTATATGCATCTTTCTATCATTTTTTCTCATTAAAAATCTAAAAATATATTTTTAATTTTTTTTATTGTTTTTATACACACATAAAGAAGAAAAAATGAATAATCTTTCATTACATTTTGTAGAAAGCGTGTCCATTGTACAAATACACTTTGTGTGTTTCTTCCACAATCATTACATATACTTCATTAAAATTAAGTTGTACATTTTAGAATTTATGTATTTTACTATCACTATATTTGATTACAGTTACTTAAACTTCTTTTTATCTAAAATCATTTATATTTAAAGACACAACCACCTACTGGCATACTTTCACAATNGCCAAGGTTGAGAAACACTGCATTAGACATTTGCATGAAATCAGTAAAGTGCAATATTTATCTTGACTTATAATAGTGACTATAAATTACCCATAAAGTAGAGACAAAGGGATTCTCAAGTTGACTTAGAAGTCTACTAGGGAAGGGTGTGACCAACCAGCTACATTGGTCTCATGGTATTTTATGATTTGTAGGTAATTCCAAAGACAACCTGTAGCTTCATATATCATATTAAGATATAATGTGCCTTGTTTGATTTTAGTTTGCATTGTAGTGTGAAACTAGCCATTGTAGTTAGGAAATTTGATTCCCAACTGAGTATGAAGTATAAAACCAGCCACTTAGGGTTTATTGAACACAGCATAGTTAGTGCCATGTGCAAATAAGACCTCCGAGTTTCTTAGCTGCTACACATAGAAATATGCAGTACAGTAACCTGGCTAAATGTTGGCTTCTATTCCGAAAGGTCTTATTGGTATGTACATAAATAATAAAATAGTTTGTTACAAATGTGATTCCCTCCATATTTAATGGAGCTTCTAGGATGTGTCTGCCAATGACTGTTGGGTGGAAGTACTTCCTTGCATTGTTTAATTTGATGTTGCTTATTGGGGCGGGGGGAAGGAAGGCCAGGAAATGGGTTGTGTCACTGAGAAATACCCTGGCCTGAGTTTATAATGCTAGTTCCAAGATTCAGTATTATTTAAGCTTTCTTAAAACCAATACGGTTAGACAACTAATTTAATTCCCATTCATTGTAAGGGTGGACTATAATAGATGTTGCAGCTTGTTTTGGAGTTTCCTAGCTGGGAATTATAGTTCAAAGAAGAACTCTAGCTTGAAATCGTTCAACTGAAGCCTAAGACAGTTGTGAAATCCTAGTGGAAAGTGATGTTCATTACCTGCAGCAGAACTGCAGTGGGGACTTTATTCTTTTGCTGGAAATATGTTTCCATCCCTTAACAACCATGCCTCTGAAGAAATAGCCATCCCACGGTTGTTAAGAAGCTTTATCTAGGTCTTTCAGGGCAGAAAAGAAAAGTATGAAGAACTGAGAGGTAGACATTTCAATCTCAAAAGTAAGATTGGCTCTGGGTGAGGGTGGCCTTTTCCTACAAAGGCACACCAGAGTAAAGTATATGAAGCTGCCATTGCATTGCTCTCATGGATTTTTCCATTGCTCATCTACCTGTAGATTCCTGTTCTGCAATCGATTATATTTGGGATTGCCTATATCAGAATGGATGGAATAGGCCCACAGATCCTTGTCCATGGAGATTTCTCAGCCATCCAGGTCATGGTTGTCGCAAAGCGGCTTTTTTCAAAGGCAACTGAGCTTTCTTTTCTTCCCCTTGAAAATGTTTCGCTTCTCATCCAAGAAGCTTCTTCAGTTCTAACTGAATGGTGGGGAGTGAAAGGATTTACAACACCAGCAGTTCCAAAAAGCCCCATACACCCATTTATACTATTCAGGTGACCTTGAGGACACAGGTAAACCTCCAAGGGGGCTTCAGGGTCTCTCAGAAAGAGTGCTAAGAACCAGATGGCTACAAGGAATATAAATCCTTCCATTCTCTACCATTCAGTCAGAACTGGAGAAGCTTCTTGGATGGGAAACAAAATGTCTTCAATGTTAAATAAGTAAAGCCCAGTTCTCTTTTGAAAAAAAAAAGCACCTTCCTTGGGTCAGAGAGATGTAATAGTATCTGTGAATTGATGGCTAGCTAGAAGGATCTTAAGCATATCAAGCCCTATTTCTAGGGAGTTTCTCAGTCATCCAGCTTGCCCCAAAGATGCATTTTCAAGAGGCAACTGGACTTCCTTGTTTCTCTTTGAAGACGTTTTGCTCCTCATCCAAGGAGCTTCTTCAGCTCTGACTGGATGGTGGAGAAGGATTTATACTCCTTCTTTTGGAGAGTCATGGAGGCCACTTGGAGGTTTGTCTGTGTCCTTAGAGTGCAATGTGAGTAGTGCAATGGGTGTGGAGCCTTCTTGGACCTGCTGAAAGGACTCTGTTGTGGAGCTGGGTTTTCTGCAGGATGTTTTCTGCCCTGTGGCCCTTCCCTGTTGAACACAGGCGCAGGCTGTTGGGGATGAGCCTGTGTTGTCTCCATCTCCGACGGAAGCACGAATGGTTCCTGTGGCCTGCATTTTTTCCCCCTGAAAGTCCATTTATTCTCCCACACCATTCAAGGATGCTCATCCCAAAGTGCATAGCTAAATGTCTAAATATCAAGCCCTACTTTTTTTCCCAGTGGGATATACGGTATCTCTTATCAATAACTATTGGACTTCCCATTAGTACAGGCTGTAGAGTCTAAGTTCTTTTGCTTTTAATAAGGCGTCCTTCCTAAAACCTCTTAAGAAGGAAGTTGCATGGTGTGTAGACTCAGCTGTGCATGCTTGCATACTGGCAGCCACAGTTTGCTCCTAATCCTTTTCCAAAGCTTGCATACATTCTTTTTCTCTATAATTTGTAACATTGCCAAAGATTTCTAAGGAATGCATTCAACAGGAATACTTCTGTGTCTGCTAACTTTTGAGCTGGGTTGCCTATTTGGATATCAGCTATAATGGGATGCAAAGCGGAGCTTATTAATCCATATTTGTTGGATCAAAAAAAAAAGAAATTCAAACAAAGGATGGAATGGAGGGGAGCCCTTGTGCATGTTTGGTGGGTCAAATATTGTCTGTTGTATCGTCCTCGGTTTACCAACTGAAAAGCAGAGACCCACCATTATGTTCCTTTAATGTTGCATACATATACATATTTATATATACATATATGCATATTCATCCCATTCTGCTACAGTTATGACATGACCAGAGAGAAGCGGAAGAGAGAATCTAGCCTTATCTAACCTGTCACCACCGTCCAGTCTGCCCCAATCTCATACTAGGAAATCCAGGATCACACTCCATAGTTCTTGCTTGGAGAAGATCTAATCCAAGCCCCTTCAAAACCAAACGCAACCGAAGCCTCAAGTTCTAAGGGAAGCATCCTCAAGATGTTCTACAGGTAGTCCTTGACTTACAACAGTTCATTTAGTGACCGTTCAAAGTTATAAAGGCGTTGAAAAAAAGTGACTTATGAGCGTTTTTTTTACATTTAGAGCCATTGCCCTTATCCCCCCATGATCACATGATCAAAATTCAGATCCCTTCATGTGATCGCCTTTTGTGACCTCCTGACAAGCAAAGCCAGCCTGGAAGCCAAATTCACTTAACGGATGTGTTACTACCTTAACAGCTACGGTGATTCACTTAGCAACTGTGGCAAGAAAGGTTGTAAAAATGGGGCAGAAACTGTCTCACTTAGCCACAGAAATTCTGGGCTCAGTTGTGGCCGTAAATCAAGGACTACCTGTTCTAGGAAACTCTTTCTAGAATAGCAGAACAATATTCCAAGCAGGAGGGAAATCTATCTCCCAAATGTTCCCAAGAAATTAGTTTTTCCCCTGGAATGCTGACTTGTAAACACAAAACATTACATCATGGATGCTTCAAAGCCCTCTCTGGCTCTTTAGTATCACAGCTTGCCTTTTAAAAAGGTACAGGTAGATCGGACAGTTAAGAGGGCTATAGGGAGGACACTATATATCATGAGCCAGGTTTAAATCAAGAGCATGAAAGTCACAGCTATGTAGTGAAAAAAACATGTGCTAGGAAATGCAAGTGAAGTTGGGTGGTTATTTATGCCCCTTGCAGTTTTTGTGGGCACCTCCTCCCAATATAGACCCATAGAAGTGCATTTAAAATAAATTGTGAATGCCTTTTCCCAACTTAAACTCATTTTAAAAACAGCTTACTTGGAACTGTAGAAAGCTTGGGCTTCTGAACCTGTTAAGATCTGAATTCTGAATGAAGGCCGCTCACTTTAATTACAAGTTAGACTGCAATGTTGTAGATACACACGCAGCAGAGATGAGCCTGGACCGCTAACAGGCCAGTGTTAAACATGTCTACTCACCTTC